GTCTCACACAGGCGTGCCAAGATGTGTAAATAATAATGCTTACATAATACTACTTGTATTGAGGAATTATTAAAGTCACTTTTTGGGGGGCTTCATGTCAGGGTCTTGCTATGCAGCCCTGACTAGCCTTGACCTCAAGATCTTGCCTGACCTCCTGATGCTGGGATTATAGGTGTGCCCTACTATGCCAGGCTTTCTGTGCCTATGGGGGAAAGGATAAAGAAGCATGATCTGGGGCTGGTGGAGTGGCTAAAGTGGTAAGTGTGCCAGCCTAGAAAGTGTGAGGCCCTGAGTCCAAACCCCAGTGCTGTCAAAAAGAATAATGAAGGGCCACTCATTATTATTATTATTATTATTTCCACAGCGTGTGAAAGAGAAAGAGGCTAGTTACCATGTGCTGTCAGGAACATATTCTTAAGACATGTTAAGACAAAGGCTCAAGTTTCACTTTAGACAGTACAATCCCATTTTTTAGTAAAGATGAATAGAACATTTAAAAATGATGCACAAAGAAAGTCTCTACAGACACATATGTCCGTGAGGGAAAAAAAAAAAAAAACAGGGAAAAACTCTGATAGGATTCACCAAACTCAGCTATGATTAGAGGGTAAGGGGCAGGTGTGGTGAGGTACATGTGAGATACAGTGAAAGAAGTTAATTTTTCATTGTCACATTAAAAATAAAGAAATCAGCCGGGCACTACTGGCTCACATCTATAATCCTAGCTACCCAGGAAGCAGAAATCAGAAGGATCGAGGTTCAAAGCCAGGCCAGGCAAATAGTTCAAGAGACCATATCTCAAAAAGAACCATCACAAGAAAGGGCTGGTGGAGTGACTCAACGGGTAGGTCCTGAGTTCAAATCCCGGTACAGAAAAAAAAAAAGGAAGGAAAAAAAGGAGGGAAAGAAAGAAGAGAAAGAAATCAGAGCATGGTGGCGCCCACCTGCTCTCTCCATTCTTGGGAGACTAAAGCAGGAGAATCAAGAGTTTGAGGCCATCCTGTGCTGCATAGCAAGGTCCTGTCTCAAAAAAAAACTAAAACAAAGAACTCCCCCGCCCCCACAAAAAAAATGAGCAGCAAGAGGAGGAGGAGAGGGAGGAGAGGGAAGGTAAAGGTGGTAGGAAGAGGAGGACAAGAAGGAATAATTAGTGCAAACCAGCCCCAGGGCATGGGGTATAGGGCCAGCTGAAAAGTGCTGTCACCACTTGATGACTGTCATCAGCGCCTCCCCAAAGCTGGCTTCTGGAATTAGATGAAGTCCACAGTAACCTCTCTCCTCCCTCCCTTCCTTCCTTTCTTCCATTTCCCCTTTCTTTCTTCTATAATGGTCCTGCTATAGAGCCGAGGCTGGCCTTGAATGCTCATCCTCCTGCCTCAGTTTATCAAGTCTTGGGATCATAGACCTGTACCACCATACCCTGTCTTGTGAATTTCTTCAAATTACAAATCAAATAGTGTAACTATCCTTCAAATATATATATATACATATATATGTGTGTGTGTATATAATAAAACCTACTCCATAACCAAGGATTTAAGACCTCAGATGATCTGACCCTAGCTGCTTCTTAAACTTCATCTCCCTCATCCTCTCCTCACTTCATAGCTTCTGTTCTTCCTCAGAGAGAGTCTTTCCTGCCCCAAGGCCTTTGTATGTGTACCAGTTTTCCCCATGTGGAATTCTCTTCTGCCTGATTTTATTCATTCTTCAGGGTTCTACTTAAATATTTGGACCTTCCCCAGCTGGACTAGCTGAACGATTTCCCCATCTTCAGATTCCCTCTCTCCCAGGGCATTTGGCCTTTTCTTGCAGACACACGACCAGCATTGCTGATTGGTGATTGGTTCTCTGTGTCCTTCACTGGACTTCCAGAGGGTGGGTTCCTCACCACAGCTCACAGCTCTGTCTCCGGGGCCTGGCGCACCAAGGTTCCCCCTAACATCTGCTCAGACCCCAGTCCCCACTGTGTCTCCAGCATGCCTGGCCCAGCTCAGAGGGGTTTGTCCAGAGTAGGGATCCTTTGCAGAACTGAGAACTGGTTCTAGCCATTTGCTGCAGGTGCTCTGTGAGGGGAGGGGCGGCAGGCCTGGGAGGGGACTGGTGACTCCTCATTCCTAGCTGCCTCTGCCTGTCCCCTCCTCCCCCCATTCCAGGAATTCCAGGCGCTCATGGCGCCAGCGGAGGTCTGGGTGGGCAGCTGCTTCCAGCCCGGGGCAGGTTCCTTCCCACTTTTTCTGACGGAGACGTGTGTGGTTGGTTGGAAGAAAATGTCGACACATAAACACAGGGCAGGGGTCCAGGCCACTTGCTGCCATTTGGAAGGAATGAAAGTGGGATTAACCAAAAAAACAAAATCCAAACCAAAAGCAAAACAAAAACACCCTACTGTTTTAGAATCTGCCCCAGAAACAATCGCCTTATTGTTTTCTGGGTCATGATAAAATGAAGGGCTCACCCCACTTGGACTGGTCTGCAGCAGCCCGGTCTCTGGCCCGGTCTCTGGCCTCTTTCGAGGCTGCTTGTCATTTGCATAGTACCTGCTGTAGACGGGGAGGGGGAGCAGGGAGGGTCCCAGGGGCCATGGTGGGGAGGATGTGAGTGGGTAAGGGGTTAAGCCAGTGTCCAGCCACTCTCTCCACCACTGTGGTAGGTTAAATAAAGGCCACCAGAGACATTCCATATGTCTTTGAAACCCAGGAATTTAAGGAAGCCAGGTGCAGGTGGCTCACGCCTATAACTACTCAGGAGGCAGAGATCGGGAGGATCACAGTTCAAAGCCAGCCCCAGGCAAATAGTTTGAGAGACCCTATCTTGAAAAAGCCCATCACAAAGAAGTGCTGGTGGAGTGATTCAAGCAGCAAGAGCTCCTGCCTAGCAAGCATGAGGCCCTGAATTCAAACGCCAGTGCTGCAAAAGATCTTTGCGGTCAGCCCAGACAAAGTTAGTGGAGACCCTCAGAAACAAAATGTAAAACAAAAGGATTGGGCTCAAGAGGTTGAGGCTTGCCTAGCATCCTGAGGGCTTGGGTTCCATCACCAGGACCTCAAATGAAAAAAGATCTTTGCAGATTCAATCAAGTGACTTGAGAGTTTTTGTTTTGTTTTGTTTATGGAACTGGGGTTTGAACTCAGGGCTTTGCACTTGCAAAGCTCTCTACTATAGAGTCTCAAAGGATTTTGCTTGGACTGACCTTGAACCTAGATCCTCCCCATCTCAGCCTCCCAAGTAGCTAGGGTACCCAGCCAATGAGAGAGGTTTTGTGCATGCTGAAGGGGAAAGGAATATGACCTGGAAATGGAGAAAGGTACTTAGGTCCCAAGCTAAGGAACAGCAGAGTCACTACAAAGCTGGAGGATTCTCCCCCTGGAGCCTCCAGAGGTGCATGGCCTGGAGGACACTCTGGTTTCAGCTCCAGGAAATTGATTTCAGATAGCTGGCTTCCAGCACTGTGAGGGAATATATCTGGGTTGATTTGGGCCACTGAGTTTGTAGTAATTTGTCACAGTTGCTTCAGGACACCCACAAAACCCTCACCTACATAGCTCTATGTGGCCACCCAAGCACAGTGTCAATCTCACTTTCATTCTACTCCAGCCGCACCAAGATCTTCTTTCTGTTTCTTCTAGTGGTCTGGCTGGGTCCATCCTCAGGGCCTTTGCACTGACTAAGCACCTCCAGATCCTCCCAAAGGTAGCCTCTACTCAAGACTCAGGTTTCTGCCGGTTTCTGCAGTGGGTGGGGTGGGGGTGGGGGGATGACCATACTACACAGGTCTTCCTTGACCACCAGATCTAAAAGTCTCCTTCAGGTCCCACTCTGTTATATCCCTCCAATTTATTTTAGTCACTATCTGAAATTATTTTTCCTCTCTATTACTTAAGTCTAGCCTTGTCTAGCTTGTTCCCTGATGTATCCCCAGGGCCTGCCTAAGCAAACATCGGTGATGAAAAAAATGCATGAATTACCAGTGTGAATTTCTGTGACCTGAAGTGTATTCGTGCACATGCATGAGAGTTTTGGGGTGTCTATGGAGCAATGAAACTGTAACCCCATCACCTCCTATCTTCTCAGTGGTCCTTCTCCTCACAGCGTTCCAGTAGTTTTCTATGTAATACTTCATTCCTATCCCACAAAATCTGGAGATGAGGGCCTCACACCTCCCTATGTTAGGTAAGAAAACTATCATTCATCCACCTTTTTTTCTTTTCGCGGTACTGGGGTTTAAACTCAGGGCCTCACCCTTACTAGGCAGGCACTCTACCACTTGAGCCACTATGCCAGCCCTGCTTTTTTGTGTTGGCTATTTTCGAGATATGGTCTCTTGAACTATTTGCCCCGGATCCAGACGTGATCCTCTTGAATGCTGCCTCCCAAGTAGCTAGGATTACAGGTGTGTCACAGGCGCCTGAAAGTTATCAATGTTTAGAAGTGAAAATAGGGCAGGCATAGTGGTGTGCAACTGTAATCCCAGCTACCTACACGACTGAGGTGGGGGGATCGTGGTCTGAGGCCGGCCTGGGAAAAGCAAGAGCCTGTCCAGAGAAAGATAAAAATTAAAGTAGAAAGGACTGAGGTTGTGGCTCAAGTACTAGAGCGTTTACCCAGTATGCGCGAGGTCTTGAGTTCAAATTCGGCTACCACCAACCCTCACGCCAAAAAAAAAAAAAAAAAAAAAACGAAAGCCGCATCCCCAGTCAGGAAAGAACAGTGCAGCCCTTCTCCTGCGTGCCCAGTCCACCCAGGCCCCTCTCCAGGACTGGCCCTCGCGCGGCAGATCCGCTTTCCTTCCAGAGAGGCGCAGGGGTTTGCCCGAGGGCACCTCCGGAAGGGCGATGGCGCCATCTCTCTGACGCGGACCTCAGTTTCCCCAGTCCCCAACGGCCGAGGCTAGGCGGCCATGGGCTGGACGGCCCCAGGGTAGCGGAGGGTTAAGGGGGCGTGGCCGGGGGCGGGGCGTTCGGCCGCACCTGGCGATCCCAGCTCGCGAGCCAACGCCTTGCGCAGCGCCAGCAGCTGCAGCAGGAGCCCGAGCCCCGGAGGAGCGGCGCGGGAGCCAGAGTCACCGCACGCGGGCAGCGACGCGGCCGAAGCCACCTCGGAGGGGAGCGAGCTGCCATGGCCGAGTTCCCGTCGAAAGTGAGCACTCGAACCAGCAGCCCCGCGCAGGGCGCCGGCACCTCGGTCTTCGCGCTGCGCCCGGACCTGAGCTTCGTGCGCTCCAACTTCGGGGTGCTCATGCTGCTGCAGCTGGTGAGCCCGCGGGCTGGTCGGGGAGTCCCGTCCGACCAGGCCAGGAGGGGGAACTCCCGAGGGCGCCCCCTCTCCGCGCGCACTTCCAGGATGGACACCCCCGAGATCGCCCTGGACCCTCTCACCACGGGACGCCCCCTGGTCATCCCTGCGTGCAAACGCACTGCACCCTCCTCCTGTTCAGGGATTCCCTCCCTCGTCAGCTCGCATCATCCACGTCCCAGGTGGTCACCACGACCGCGCTCAGAAGCTGCAGTCACGGCGCACAACTCTCGTGATCTCTCTTGGTCTGTCTGTCTCTCTCCTCCTTCCCTGCCCCCGGCCTCCAGGGGCTAGGCAAAGTCCACTATCCACCTCCTGTCCAGCTCCCGTGGCTCTTTGTGGCTAAACTCCAGCACTCCCCCCGCTAAACCACAGAGCGCATCGGTGCCCAGACACAGACTCTTGGGCACGGTCCCCTGGGCTCCCATGCGCAGCCAGGCCTTTCTGGCTTCCTCTGGGGAACCTGCCGGGTAGCTGCCGGTTTAGCTTGCTCGGAGGGCAGAGATTTCGCGCCTTGCGCTGGGGAGAGGAATTTGTGGGAAGCCAGATGTCAGACTCCTTTCGCCTCCGGACCTCTGTGCACACCTCAGCTGAGGCAGGCCAAGGGGAACGCCCCACCCCACCAGTTATAGGCCTGGGGGTGTTCGCTTTCTTCCCACCGTACCCTCCAGTGAGAGTCTGAAGGCCTGATGGCTGTCCCTTTTGGAGGGGTCCCATCAGCTAAGAGCCGTCCATTTTCAGTGGTGGGCTTCCATCCATTTTCCTTGGCCACCCCGTGAGTAGACATTTCGCACCATCCCGCTTACCGCGGGGTGTTTGCAAGGCTGCCAGACCCTCGGGGGAGATGGAGATCGCATCTTCCTGCCCTCAGGGGAGCGCCCACCCCCATCTGGGGCCCTCTACCTCTATTTCTGGATTCCTCTCAGTTCCCTTGGTGGGGCCTCTCCCCCACCCTAACCTTCCAATCTCCTACCAGGGTTTGTTTAAAATGCAGATTTTTGGACCCCCTCCCTGGAAAAAATGTGGAATGGTTGAATCTCAGGAAGTACAGCCATGAATCTACACTTAAATCTCTTCTCCCTAAGTGTTTTTTTTTTTTTTTTTTTTTTTTTTTTTTTAATTATTGGCCCTTTGTTTTGTTTTTGGACAGATTCTCTGTCCTGGGGGTGACACCCTCTTCTGACACTAATGGGACTAATTTAAGTCTGCTGTCGGGAAGAGCCACTTGGGTGCTGGGCTCTGGGCAATTTGGGAGATACAGCTTAGGACCTGGTTGGGGAGGAGCCCATGGCTTGGAAAGAAAGGAATGTAAAAAGGGCAGAGGGGAGGGAGATAAAGTCTGCAGCCTGGAAGGCTTCATGGAAGAGATGGCTTTTGAGCTGGGATTTCAACAAAAGGCTGAGGCAGAGGTAGGGAAGGGCACTGAGTGAATGGAAGCTGGAGATGGGGGATTTGGGGGAGCAGCCAGCAAGTGGGGAGGTTGGAGTTGAAGTACCTATTTCTGGTCTGACCAGAAGCCAAGGGTGCCTCTGTGCACCTCTGCCAGTGCTAGAGACTTGGTGCTGTTGGCAGCTTTGGGAGGTTTTGGAGCAGTGAGGACCACAGTACAGTGGCTTGTGGACCCTGAGGGTTAGCCCTTGAGGATAGGATAGGGGTGTTTTGTATTTGGACAATGAGAATTGCATAGGGAGGATGAAGGAACTGGAATGAGGGCTCCTGTGTGGATGGGAGGGACCTGGGTAGCTGCCTCTGGGGGAGGCTTATGGTTCTGATTTGGGAGATTCCTAAGGCTTAGCACCTGGGTCCCCTTACACCATTGCAGACACTGAGGCATGAGTGGGAGTCCTTGGTGTAGCTGGGCCCCTGGGTGTGCAGACACCAGAACTGGCTTTCTTTGCCCCTCTCAGTCTTCCATCCCCTGTGGGGTTCTAAAGGCCTGTACCTCCAGCCTTCCCCATCTGCTTGTTGGAGAAGCTGCTTCTGAACTCTTTCTGTGGCAACGGACTGTTCCACTGGGTCGGAGACAGAGGTCCACTCAGCATGCCCCACCATCTGCTGAGAAGCCCGGCAGGTGCACACTGCACTCTTGGTCTTTTGCCAAGGGCTTTTTGTCCTTTTTACCCCATTTTGCAGGTGGGGAAACTGAGGCTCAGAGGTAGGTCTTGGCCCAAGATCTCACCACCCTCCTCCCCTGGAATGAATTTTCTGTTTCATGTTCTTAACTACCACACTCAGCTTTGCTCCCATGAAACATGGGGGTCTGGTGAATTACAGGCAGTGGTGGAGACCTAGACCTAGGGCCTGCTCCCCCTCCCTCCGCACCCCCCCCCCAGGCCCCAGGGATCAGGGAAGGCTTTGTAGAGAAGGCAGTAAATTAAATGAGAAGCTAGAAGCTCATTGCTGCCAACCCCTCTTTCCCCAAGATTTGGTGAAAGGTTCCTGGGAGGGTGGAGGATCCCGAGCTCCTTGACAAGGAGATTGTTCTTCATCCAGGATCGGGTGTCCTGCACAACCATCCCAGTATTTGTCACTAATATGTCTGGTGGTATTTATCACTTGCCCTCCCCCATTCCTCCAAATCTGGTTCCAGAAGGTATTATTAAGTCACTCAAAACAGAAGAGTTAATATGTTTCTAAAATTTGATGGGTTTGGGAGGAAGGTAAAGGTAGGTAAAAAGACATCACTATATCAAGAATCTGTAGCAAGTTTAAGATTACTGGTTCATTGTTGAACTTTCTAGTAACCTAAGGAAAAAGGAAATAAGAATTTATGCAACTGACCCCAAAACAAGTAGACAAATAAGTCTGATCTAGAGTTAGCTCTTCTGGTCATAAAAACCTTGCGTCCTTCCTGCTACAGTTCTTTGTGTGACAGGGGAGTAGAAAAATGCGGGAGAAGGTGTGACTGGTCTCATGGCAGATCCTTCAGCCTTTTTTAGAGTAAATATTAAGTAAGTGCTGTGAAGTACTCATCTCTTTCTTATTTTTTAAATTCTCCCCCAGCTCTGAGAAGGAGGTTACCTGGGTTTACTGATGAGAATAAGGCTCAGGGAGGGTGAGGAACTTGTTCAAGGTCACGCAAGGAAGAGTAGCAAGGATGTGCATACAGCATAGAGTGAAAGGATTTGCACTCAGATCTGGTGATGGGAAGCCTGGCTCACACTGTGGTTCTTGTTTGTTTTGTTTTATTTTTGGGTGGTGGAGTTCTTGGATGCTTTGGAGGAGAAGGGGTGACTTGAGGAAGGGAAGCTCATCAGGGGTCTCTTGGGAGGGCTTCCTGGCACAGGTGAGGTCTGAAGGTTCTAGCTAGATGGAACGGGGTGGGAAGAAGGAGGTTCAGGCTAGGCATGGTGGTGTACCCACGTAATCCCAGCACTTGAGAGGCTAAGACAGAAGGATCCTGAGTTCAAGGCCAACTTGGGCTACATAGCCAATTCCAGGCCAGTCTGAGCTACACACCGAGATCCTGTCTCACAAAATAAAAAAGGAGGTTCAAGACAGGCTATCACTTGTGCAAAGCCCTGGCAGTCAGAAAGCATCTGTGGGGCCCAGGACCTGGAAGCTGTGTGAAGTCTCTGTGGCTGGACAACCATTTGCCTTGGGTGACTTTGATCCTTCTTGCCCTACCTCCTGGGATTGGGGTGGCCACATAGCTTTAAGTTTGCAGGTAAATAAACAGACCAGATGCCTTATCTATCACTAGATCACAGTGATCATGGAGTAGACCTCAGTGTATTGGCTGGTGTGCAGGCCTGGAAGCAGACTATCTTGGATTCAAATCCTGGCTCTGCCCCTTCTTGACTTGGGATCTTGGTTTCCTTTTTCTTTCTTTCTTTTTAATTGGTGGTACTAGGGTTTGAACTCATAGCCTTGAAGTTGCTATGCAGGCACTCTATCACTTGCATCTCACCCCCACCCGCACGCTTGGGATCTTGGAAGTACCTAAGCTCCCGAGCCTCATTTCCTGGTGTGTAAAATGATGATGGTGGAACTGTTGAGGAATACAGAACATACTGCCTATGAAGGGCTTGGCATGGTGTGTCTGGAAGGATAAGTTCCCAGGACTGTGTTGTAAGCACAGTCTTGAGAGCAGCATTCTGGATCGAACTTGAAGCTTGCGGTGCCTCCAGGCTGTCTGCTCCATCCTTGCACTTGGGGGTGTTAGGAAGCTCTTTCTTCTGGTGGTCCCAGTGGCAGGCCAGCTCCTCTCCAATGTGGGGACAGGGCAGGGCTAGAATGGCAACTCTGACCTTCAGGAAGCAGCTGCCTGGTGGTGGAGGTCCATGAGGTGTGGGCAGTGCCGTGCTGGGGACTACCAGGCTTGCATAGCACTGAGATCCACATCTGGGGGGTTCAGCAGCCTCAGTGCCACTTCCTGGGCCCGCACACTCCCTATGCCTGTTCCCTTCAAAGGGCACACAGGGCTCTGCCTTGTTAGTTCCCACCACACTCCAGCTCACTGTAGTGGGAGGGTGCGAGGGTGGGAATTCATTTGTAATTCCCTAACAGTATAGGAATATATTCTCCTTCCAAAACAAAAACCCAGACAGACAAGGCTGAAGGTGTCCTCAGATCACCCACTCCTCTTCCTAAGGCAAGAACTGGTTCTAACTGGTTTTATTCTGTATCTGCTGTTAGCGCAGTGCCTCTGGTATCTCTCCTTGTGAGTATCCCATAGTGTCACTGTAGCCCAGCTCCTGTAGCTGCTTCTCAGTTTTTCTACTGATGGACCCTTTGTGGTTTGTAAACATTGTTAAGTTCTTTGATAAAATGTTATGACACACGGTGAAACATTCAGCGGTATAAAAGGTGCTTGGTAACATGCAGTCTCTTTCATCCCTGACCAGTCCTCCATCTGCCCTCACCCCTAGATCAGCGCACATGGTACTATGCGCATCTTTATTTTTTTTCATATCTTTATTTCCATAATTTTTATTTTTATTCAACTTTTGTGATGG